TGAATGCACTAACCCCATGTATAGGAAGGCCCCCTTTAAGGGCCTTAACAGCATCTGACATGGACACATCCTGAGGATAGGTTAGATAGGCCTCCGGAACCATCATTCTCTCTCAAAATCGCCGCGACAGCAAAGGCAAAGGATCCCGTCATTTTTGATAACCCGAAGAGTTCATTCAGCGTATACGCTTTTGCCTGTTTACTCGTTCGCATCTGCAGCGAACCTCGCACACAGGGGGTGATATTGAAGACCTCTTTTACCGTAATATTTGTAATGTCCAACGGTAGCCGTCGGCACATTGTCGAGGGGATCGCATCCTTCGGTTCACTTTTGTTCTTTTTTCCCTTACCTTCTTTAATGAGCTGCAGATTTTTGAAGGATCTGATCAATGTGTGGGGAAAGAATTCGCAGTTCATTGATGATGAAGAACAGAATGATGTTAAGGAGGAACGACTGGACGGTAAGGTGCTTGCCATCCCGCAGCACTGCCAACCTACAGGCTAGCTCAATCATTGAACTTATGTGCATTTGCCCGAGCGACTAATCATGTGATAGTCAATTTAACAGGGCTACACATTACCTCGGATTCCATCATTTGAAGCACGGCAAATTCGCCTGTGTGGGTGTTCTTGGGAAATTTTTCAAAGTGGATCGCGAGAACAATTGAAATTCCCTACTCTGACATCCAAAAAGCAGGTTCGAAGCTTCAGGTAGACAACCATATAAAAGCAAAGTATCCAGACTGGAAATGTATCATAGGTTCATAATTGAAAGCACTTGCAGTAGTCTCAGTCCGATAAAAATATTACGCAAACACTGCAACTTCAATTGATGTCAGCTTTGTTCACGTACATTCTAGACACTAAAATTTGATTGATGCTTCAAACTATGGTCCTTGTCTGCATTAACCTTATAGCTGGACCTTTTAGGAACAAAAGGACTTAACTTGTTTTACTATTTAACCATTAAAGACCAGGAGCTGGTGCTACAAAGTTACCAGCAATTCGAAAGTCAATAAATTAGCTAAAAGTGTCGAATTAATTCTAATAACTTGTTAATTTGCCTCAGTAGTTTGTTACTTGTTGGGATTCAGTTTCAGAAGCTGCAGAGTTAGCAAATTTTAGCACAAAAAACAGCGTTGCAGAATCGTACTGCGTAAATTCCTTGCTAAATTGTAATCAGTAAGTGGTGAAACTGTTACGAAGCAATGTAACTATTCGGAACGCAAATTCCATAAATGCCACGAATTCTACCTGTAAAATCTGACCAAATAACACTGTAACTATACAGAGACAAAAGAAGCTTCACAATGTCCCTAACACTCACCCATCATGCAGAGCAAATAATTCAACTGGGCTGATAGGTGAAGTGATAGACTGGAGATATATGTCTATGTGAGGGCCAGTGGCTATTCTCCCATTCAGAAGGGACATAGATTTTGAAGTGTCTTAAGGCTGCCAGATTTAATCTCAGGTTCTACCCCCAACGTCAGACAACACGGCACACTTTACCCACTCCCAAAACCCATTCTTCGCTGCCGTAGAGGCTGACATAAGCTCGGACCCTGAGTTGGGCGAATGCTGTGCCACCTTTGCCAACTTGTCATCGACCAGGAGGAATTGGCCCACTCTGACAGAGTTCTTCCATCGTTACCAAAATGCAGACAAAGACGATAAGGGGTATGCGAAGAACCACAAATCAATAGCGAGAAGAAGTTTCCGCGGCTCACCTCCAACCAAGGTCGCTGGACAGATAAACGTCCATTTCAGACACGGACTCCGCCCAACCGTTATGGTCGAGTTGCACCGCCGTACGAAGACCAATGCACTCATCGAGCTGGTACGGTTGCAGCGAAGAGGCGTCAAGGACCACTTACGGTTCCGCGCTGCGACAACAACAACAGGCGGGCAGATTCAGCACGCTTATACCAGCGTCCCCTTCACTGTGCCTCAAAATTGGGCGAGTCTTTCCCTTCCCTATCGTGTTTGTTCCGAAACCACTCACACTCATTCCTGCAAGCTCTAGGCCAACTAGAAGAAAGAATATGCAATTTCAGCTTGAAATCCACTGCGGCTAGATAAATGGCAAACCCTATAACTTTCCCGACTTTTTATCACAAGATTGGGATCGTTCCACCATCAAGCAGATTACGTAGAAGAGAGGCGTCGTTAAAGGGCAACTTAGGCAAATAGCCCTGGACAGTTAAATTTAGTACATATCTAGAGCTGGCTCAAGACGCCAGCCTTGGCGCCGACTCTCTGCACAATAATTAATCCATTCTAAATTTTGCGGAAGGCACCTTCTTCATCCACTAGGACACTGAAACCATGACAACCCCTTCGCTACAGACAGAACACGTTGACGGTATTTGCAATTCCCCATTTGAGGCTGGAGCCATACCCATGAACAACCTATGCGACCCCCGCGTGCACCTTACCCATATCATCGAAACGGAGAGGACGGAGGGCAAAATATGTATTGACCACGTACAGACGGACTGAGGAGGTACCGCCACGGTCCAAAGGCCAAGTCACTGGGTAGAAGTACAATGGTCATGACCTTCAGTGCCAGCGTAACCATGACGAAGTTAAGCAAACCATCAAATTTTACTACACAGTCCTCCCTTGCTTTTGAGATTCTTCCACTTTGTCCACCACAAGATAGTCGGTGATGTGAAAAAGCACCCACGAGTCGACCGTGTCAGGCATCAAATTTGTGTGAAGCAGAGGTATTGTCTGACTGCAACACCTCTGATTCTTCTTGGCTGTTTCACTGTATCTGGAGTTTAGTTCTGTTTGAGATCTGCATTGGGGGAAAGGAGGATGTGGAGTCCGTCACGTATGCCCATTGATAGTAGGAAGAGCGTTGGCCTAAAAACATGATCATTTATTTAACGATAGTGGGGATAAAGTTTTGCATTCAGCCCTCCATGCCACGTTGACTCCACACTAGTGCTGCCCAGCCATTTGTGTTTGGGTGCTGGCCACCTAATAGGGAGTTGGAAGAGGCATCACGCATTCGCGTTGTTGACACCTTCACACAAGTAATGCTAACAGCTCAGCAATGCACTCTGCCAGATGATTTCAACCTTGCGTTTCAACATTGCCATAGAAATTCCCAGTGCCTGACTAGACGGATTGCCAACCATTATATTAATTATATTAAATTTATGCAATTTCACTCTGGCTACGGCTATCATAATGCAAGCTTTAATTTGAATCTGGCCAAGTTTTTACGATGCTCATAATAGAATTGTTACCAAACGCCTAAATAGCTAGATTTTTAACAGTTATCCATCGGTCAAATTATACTGTGCACAATTACACGACACAATTTAGCCTAGCCCAAACATCAGCGGTTATTGCTTTTCAGGCCAAGATTTTCATAATGGCTCCTGTTAATTCAATGTGGATCAAATACCAACAATTTCAGCCTATTGTTCATTACTGCACATTGTCAAGGAATATTTCAACTTTCCTCACATCTCAAAATTATTCCTGTGTCTTTATAAAAAGTCAATGACAACAAAACTAAACAGAGTAACTGAAACCAGTCATTCGTCACCAAATCGACTGTGCACACAAAAGTAACAAAAACGCTAAAATGGAAGCCTGCATATTTGGCACTTGGTTGCCATGCCGAACACACACGTTGTGACACCGTCGTGGTGACGTTCAGGTTTCATTTTAGGCACGTAATAGAGTTGATGTAACCATGACCCTCAACTCGATTTGGCAAGACGCATAGATCTGTGCACCATAACTTTTACGCACGACATGCCTAACATGCGAAGTTTATTTCGATTGACGCGGAAGTCTCGTTTGTACAATGTGAAGGCTTACTTCAAACACAGTTGCCATTGGTGAGTAGCAACAACGCTTAGCATTCTCTGATTATTAAAATCACATAGGTTGAGGAGTCTACACGAAGCATTCTGGCATGCACTAAAGGGTCTAAGTGCAAAACCACACTGAAACAGGCCTATCTTTTGTCTGGGGACGCAATAACCCAGGGGAGATGGAGCAGTGCATACTTTGAAGTAAGCGCGATACCTGGGAACAATTAAGTTCCTATCGATGTCAGTTTTGCTATCAGTATGTGGTGGAAAAAGGGGCTAAATTTGCCATTCTACACATTGCAAGCCCAGTTTGACAATGGTTAGCATTCTTGAAGAGAAACGTGGATGATTTCAGGTGTCGGTTTAGGTGGAAAGTAAGAAAAAATAAGCAGCATTGTATTGTAAAAGCGGACAGAGGTGCGAGTGTTTAAATTATTCAGCGCATATTAATTGTGCGCTTGTAAGTTAAGCGTTTGAACTAAGGTGGGAGTAGGAGCATTTTTATAATAACATGCTAAAGGAAAACTGCGCAATATACGGCCAAGATGCTTTGCAAGTTAATCAAAGCAGTCCACTAAGTAGAGTAGCCAACGTTACAACTGCAGTCGCTCGACTACAACGCTGGCACAATGATGCGATACATTCTGCAACTGACGCAAGCGAAGGGGGATGCAATTTGGAGGCCGACGTCGAAATAAGCCATGTATGGGTATGCTTTGCTATTTGCCGTTGAACAGGTACTCAGTTCCCTACTTTGCTTCTTATATTTTACGCTAAAGGAGACATTCCATTTAGAGCTTCCAAACGGTTTCACGAATTGTGAGGCCAGAGAGCATATCAAAGAAGTGCATTTGGTTTCAAGGATGCAAAATTATTATAACCATGTCAACTTGCATCATATTGAATGACAATGTGGTAACTTAGTTTCCCCCTAAGACTTCCTTGAACAGGATAAAAGTTTTAAAAGCAAACTCCTCTGCCCCTGATCTAAATAGAGCAAAGTAAATTCTCCACCTTTGCGGTAACAACTACTTCTTCCCATATTTGTGTTATTGAGAGAAGAGTGCCCTGTTTCATCAAACTTGACTTCATTTTATTGTGCTTACAAGACACCTACAAACGTGTCAATTCCGGACAATCCTGACATTTTGTACACTATGTTGTGCACACAAAAGTTGCAAATTCACGAGGCGTGATGCTCAGACGATTGCCTTTCTACGTAAAATAGGAGCCCTGGTGACATCATTTCCCAGCCAAAACTGATTCACGCCGATAGGATTGACGAATCGGAGAATATCTTTTTGCTGAACGAAAACATAAACTTGGGTAAAATCAGTAACTCTGTTTCCTTTTAACAAAGTTTAGGGACAAATCTCAGTACATATTTCAAATTTATAATCTGATGCATGCATGACTAGCAAGTAGGTTTTCTCGCGAGTTTTCCAAAAAAACGAAAACTCTTTAATATAAGAGTCTAAATGTAGTCTGATTAAATTGAATAAGCTAAATGACTTTCCCATTTGATTGGATATGCTCGAATTCCAGACTGAAACATAAGAGAGCGGAATCTGTATTCAAAATATTAACAGCAGTTACAACAAAAGGGCATCCCCATCTCTCTACGTTGAATGCAAGAAAAAATTAAACAGCAGACCTCCAAGCCAGTGATACTCCAGTTTCGCATCCTTTCAGTCAGACAAACAAGTTAGTGCTATTTACCAAGCTAGATTCAAAAAGTGGGTTAAAAGTAAAATGAATTTATTTCCGAAAAAGGAGGCATAATAGACTAAAGTGCTCAAAATCAACTCTGGCAGCGAAATGCCCAATTAATTTTTAAGATTCCCACTAGGTAACACTTGGTTTCGGAATGCGACTGAAATAGTTCATCAAAACAGCTCTTGGATGTTACACTGTTCGCAAAGTAAACAAAAAGTGTTCAGTCATTCAACCACGCACGTTCCTAAGACCTTTGTCCTGTAGAGCAGCGTGACAAACTGACACAAGACTGCCGGATGAAGACCTCTGGTTGACGCAGTGGGCGTGACCCGATAATGCTCTCTGCGGATACCAAATAGATGCCACGTGTTTGCGACAGTTGTTTCCAATTCGCACAAGTTGAGTGAACACAGTGTAGCTTACTTCTCGACCAGCCGCCCATTCATGTGTCAACTAAATCACTCATCTCCACCCAAGGACCATTCAATACCTTACCTCTTCTACGTTGTCAACTACTGAACTACGAGCAAGTTCATGAACTCTTGCCATGTGTGAGATACAAGCAATTCCCGTATTATTCTCTCACTTCACTTTTCAATACCATCCTTTCATTCGGTACTAACTCTATATCTAGAGTTAGAGCAACTTCTACTTTCTTTGACATACCTACAAAACTTCTAGGAACGAATTAACGATGTTCAGAAAATATTGCTAAGTGCCTATGAGGTCCTCTAGTCAGATTTCACTCACGACATCGCACATTCAAGGATGTTGGTTCGTATGTTGAGCGTAATGCTACAATTGAGTTGTACAGTCTACCGAACCCTCCACAGTGAGGCTGGAAACCAGCATGTCTATGACGAGGTTAGGAGGCACGAACACACCCATTTATCTTGTCCACACATCACTCCCTTTTAAGCGAAATAAGAAAGCACGTCCTTTCAATTGAATGCAATAATATTTTCATAAATTAGTAGCTGTGCGCTTCTAAGCACTCATTTCAATGATTGTGGAGAAGGACATCCACAAGCATTCGAATGCTTAGGTACATGTGCGTTTCATGAAATTTTTAAGGACACGGGTTTAACATTAGCAAGGTCCATATCTACTAATCCCATTGCCAAAACCAAATTGCAGTAACTTCTGGCTTTACATTCTGCCCTCCAACTTAAAATACTTGACATCTATTCCCGATACTACAAAATAACTAAGAATAGCTGCAGGCAGTGCACCCCTTAAACAAAACAGAAGGGCACACTTTCAAGTCAACATCTTGAAGTGTGATACCAGCGTTATCCTACTGTTATAAAGAAAATATGGAGTTCATAATTCAACAGTGCATCCAAAAAACTCCCCTAGTTCGTGAAAATCCCTACCACCTTGATCGCTTTCAACTCAACCAAAAGTGCCTCTTTGATGCAGGAAATTTCTTCCATTCAACATTTTGCGGTCCTCTCCTACATCAGCTTCTGAAGCTCGAAAAGAACGCAAGGCAATGAAATAGAAAATCATCAGAGGCATTTGAGGAATTTTCCAACCGACACAAATAATGCAAAAAATAGCATCACCACATCAACGCCTTTACTTTTGGCAAAACTGCTACATTGGCTGGACGAATCCCACTTAACCTCCTCACATTCCAATCCTCATTTATGACGAGACAAAGACTATCATGTGGGCGTAAACACACTCCATGTCTGGGACAGCTTCAGTACAATATCATCTACACAAATGCGAGAGGAATCCATGTTGTGTTGGTGAGGATGGAGATGTGAGAGAATGTTGAGACCGAACCAGTAACCTAGCCAATCCACATTCTTGGTCATTGCAGAAGAGTGTGGAAGTAAGCAAAATTAGAATAGGAAAAAGGCCGAAATAAAAAGGATATCACAACGAACCATTTACCAAGAAACAGATTCACAACCATCGGTCGTGCCTCCGAACCCTGCATTCACAACATCGGTGTGGAGCCAACTAACCGGAAAGTCACTTAACAGGGCTTTCATAAGACGATTCCAACAATAGTGTGGACATTCACAGTGGTTCTGCCAGACAAAGCCAAGCACAAAAATTACATCCTATTCATTCCACCTCTTTTCTAAAAAAAACATTCAGAATTGTAAATAAAACGTTTAAAGGGATTGACCATCGCCTAGAAACTGATGCCATTGATAGGGAATGGTGACAAATAAGTTCAGCAGTCTTCGCATCCGTTGGAGGCGTTTCCCAACTACCACCATAGAGGTCCACTAGACCTCAGGCATGGATCACCAAAATGTGAGAACCTCCTGGCTTTCTACTGCCTCCACTCGAGTGCAGAAGACGCGGATCATCGTTATACACCCGCTTTTGACTGACATCTTTCCACTAATGCCTCTTTCAACCTTGGCAACACGAAATTGAGCCAACAAATGCCTGCCACTTTCAAACACAGATTTCATCATAAAACGAAGCAATTAAACATCACAAACAAGTCGAAGAGCACTAAAAACATGACTCAAATTAAAGGTTGGACCAATTTGCGAGTGCAACGAATCACTCTACAGCAGGCAGTCATGATCAAGGAAAGTAATCACTATTGGAGGGGATCAGGACCGATATCAAAGGTGATGAAGCTACGTCTCAAAGTGAACGTGGTGCAGCTAAAAGTCAAAATACCCTGCCAGCGATATCGCTTCATCTGAAACAAGCTGTTGTGATAGAGAAACTAGCCCCTTATTCCCTATTTTTACCATTACTATTTGTCTTCTTAACTACCCATGACTACCCTA